GCAAGGTAAGGTTGTGGATGCCAAAGTAGTCTATGATAGGGATAGCGGTAGATCAAGGGGCTTTGGATTTGTAACGTATAGTACTGCTGAGGAGGTCAACAATGCAATTGAAAGCTTGGACGGAGTTGTAAGTATTTTCTTACTCAGCTAAATTATGCATCTATCTCTTTCGTTCTGTATGTCGGTCACATTTTCCGTTCAGGTCGATTTTGTGTCCTGGTTTAGGTTTCACATGTACTTGTATCTCATAACTAAAGCTTCCCACATGATGGTATCTGTCATTCAACTATATGATATATAGAACGATTAGGTATTTGCCTACTTGTTGCGTTCTGGATCAGTTTTACCTGCCATAAATGTCTTCTTAATAGTGATGTAGATATCTACACCCCAAGGTTGTGGCCTAGTGGTCAATGAAGTGAGTTGAGAACTTGAGGTCTCAGGTTCGAATCCCAGCGGAGGCAAAAAACTAGGTGATTTCTTCCCATATGTCCAAACTTTGGTGGATAGAGTTACCTAGTACCCATTGCATGAGAGGTAGCAGGTATCCCGTGGATTTAGTCGAGGTTCGCGCAAGCTATCCTGGACACCACGGTTGGCAAAAAAGAAATAGTGATTTAGATATGCATGATTGTGTAGTTATCGAACTTGTGGGGGTGGGGGTGGGGGGGGGTCAGTCTTCTTAGATACTTCGCTTTCACTTGTCTTCAACTAATAGATATGTGATTTACCATCAAAACTGACTCTCGTATACTGCATTGTTATATTATTGAACGAGTTTCACATTCTTTTTTTGTAATTTTCTTTTTGATTCCTTCTAGTAAAATGAGCTTCGAGTAAATACTGTATTACTTCTTATTGATCTTTGTTTGCCTTAACATATTGAACTTTGTGGTGTAGGACCTCAATGGAAGGGCCATCCGTGTAAGCCCTGCTGAAGCTCGGCCACCCAGGCGTCAATTCTGAAGGTTATAACCAACATCTTTTTGATCGAGAAAACGATTGGGGTAAACAACATCTATGTTCAACTTTTTTTGCTGTTTCTCCTTGAGAATTCACATCTTGGAGATGCATCAATATCTATTTATACATTATCATGTGATTAGTAATCCAAGTGCAGTTGACTGTACATTTAATTTTCAATAATTAAACCAAAAAGGTATGTTTCGGCTCATAAGAATGTATAATTACATGGCAGGGTCCAGGAGATGACGACTGTTGCAACAATGATGAGTTAGTAAATCTGCAACTTCTACCCCAAACTTGCGCGGACAAATTACTCTCTGCTTCTGGACTAACTAGAGTTCTCAAGTAAATTAGCTTTTGTAATCTATGTTCTGAAATTGCCTCGGAAAAAATTCTTGATCTTGTAATATGCTTATCCATCACTTGTTGAAGGACACGACAGTTAAAAAGTTTGATACTCTTTGAAATGTATGTTAGCGAGAAGCATTCTTGTTGTACAATGAATTTGCAGAAATTGTGTTAATTGTGCCAGTGCCTCTACAACAATTAATGGTCCTTAAAATTTTACTAATATTTTTGCACTAAATGTTGAAGGGCAGGGATTTTCTTGACCAGCTGGGACAGGAATCCATAGCGCAATTCAGGTTTTGCTTGTCTAGGTAAGGTCCCAGACTGTCTGCATTTTAGGTCTCTGGTAATCCATGTTGCTCGAATCTTTCAAAAATGTCATCGGGTGTGTATTATGTTGTTCATTTTTGGATCCGATAGGGGTGCAACAATATTTTTGGAGGATCCGAGCAACATAGTTGGTAGTGGTTATAGTGGTAGGCTGAGAGGGCTACATTATAATGGCTCTGAGATTCATGTATCGCGTGAATTGCCCCTCCTCTCTGTATTATCTAATCTAGTTGAGGGAGCATGCTTGTTCGATTAGCTTAAAGAGTGCCTTTTTTCCTAACAAAAAAGTTAATAAAGTTTTGAGCTAAAAAATTTGAGTTGTGTGTGAAAAGTAGTAATATGTATAATTAAAGTGGTAAGTTATGAATTTCAATTCTTTATTATTCTGGAATCTAAATTATTCTCTGAGTCTACGTTGTCCTATAAAAGTGCAGTCGTGTGCGTAAAGTATTCCGTATTAACGTCGGGTTCGAGGAAGGACCATGGGCGTATGCACTTTATACCATGCGGTATCACATGACATCGCTTGGTCGAAATTTCTTAATAGATGTTTATAAGAAAAATAAAAATATTGGGAATACGTATAAAAAAAAATTTCTTAATAGATGTTTATAAGAAAAATAAAAATATTGGGAATACGTATAAAAAATGCACTGCTTGTTATTATAGTAATTTATTCATTTGTTCTTTCTGCTTATATAAATTCTACCCCTCGGAATATGACGTAGATAGGGTATACGATGTTCGGCAATCTAAAGTCATACAAGTGTTCGGCAATCTAAAGTCATGTCATCTACATTTGAAGCTATTTATTGTATTATTCTTTACGACATTTATGACTATATATTAAAATTTGAAATTTCAATTGAACTAATATTTTAACCATTGCTTTAATGTTGTGCAATCTAAAGGCAAACGATTATCTTAAACTCCATATCCGGTCAAATATTATCATACGAATAAAATGTGGAGTATAAATTAAGCCAACGAGAGGAATCCAAACTGAAGGAAATTCACTAATTACTGAACTATGTTGAAATCTTGGAAGTATTTTCGTTTTAACCTAATTTAAAAGTGTAAGTAGGAAGAGTATATTGGATCATATAACCTATTCGCTTTTCTACGCAAAATAAGATAAATTTAGTAAAGGAAGAGTAAGAAATACTACCATTACCTTATTTCTTCTCTAGCACGTGAAAGCATTTTCATCTCTCGGAAATGAGTCAAACACGACTTTTCATCGACTCCAATAGAGTATTCTACAGTCACAATTAAGTAATCTATTGATACTGCCAACTTATGCTATGTCCAGATAATAGTTTGAAAATGGAGGTTGGATCCATTACTTTGTCTTTTTCTGCAAATATTGATAAATGAAGATCAAACAGAATTAAAGTGAATTCAATTTCTTGTCAAAATTCCTTCAACTGGACATGCAAATAGTCCTTTCACATGATTCTTAGCAATGAAAACTAGTTCAAAATCCATAACTGTGGTCACAAGGTGACAAAAAAAAGAAGATGTTTTCTACAAAAAAGAAAACTTGCAAACATACAAGGTTGCTGCAATATTCTACCATAAATACCTTTGCTGTTCTTTAGTATTATTCAAAAATATATGACTGCTAAGACCCCCACTCATGATCGTCTCGCAACTCTCCTATATATGGCCTGTTAAGGATGAGAAGATTATATTTGATATGATTGAAGCAGCACACTGCACACAAGCAATATCTAGCTACTCCTTAACAACATTCCCCCCCTGTCCCACCATATGTTAGCACTCTTACTCTCTGTTTTGTACTGCATTGTGTTGTACCGTATTTCTTGAGCCGTGGTTCTATCGGAAACAACCTCTCTACCTCTCCAGGTAGGGGTAAGGTCTGCGTACACACTACCCTCCCCAGACCCCACTTGTGGGATTATACTGGGTATGTTGTTGTTGTTGTTGTGTTGTATCGTATTGTTTTGTAAATACTATGTTTGGATAGAGTGGAATGTTTGTTTTTGTTTAATAACATTTTACCTGTTTTGTTTGGTCTAACTGTATTATATCTGCTAAGTATTACTGAAATGCCCGTAACTTTTACTCAAGTTAAGCAGTATTCAAGAAAGATGTTATCAGTGATAAGTTAAACAATGTTAATGTTATAGGTAAATCAGTTCATTATTGACATTTCTGTTGTTTCACTCTTACACAGATTAAGTCCAACTTTAAGGTCAGGAAATGTTTAGCCAGAGCACCATGTCTTCTACTAAACAAAAATCTGTCAGGTATATCTGAGCAGTCCTTAAATTTGTGGCTAAAGTACTTTTATAATATAGTAAGTGCAGCCCGGTGCACTAAGCTCCCGCTATGCGCGGGATCCGGGAAAGGGCCGGACCACAAGGGTCTACTGTAAGTAGCCTTATCCTGCATTTGTGCAAGAGTCTGTTTCCACGGCTCGAAACCGTGACCTCCTGGTCACATGGCAGCAAGTTTACCAATTACGCCAAGGCTTCCATCACTTTTATAATATAGTATTCTGTTAAATAAAACTGCAGCTCATTTTTGTAGTAGTTCTTCTATAAAGGCATGCTGTATTTTATGCATTGGAGTCTGAGTTATGCACCACAAATAAATGTATTAGATTCCTATTCTAATTATTAATGAAAGCTTGAATCTGTAATCAGATTTCCAAATGACATTGACATTGCAATATCTGGATCATACAAGCCGGAAAAATTCCTTAAATCTATATCTATGAAGAATGACGAACAAACGTCTAGCTCAAAGTTGGAGAAGGCAGAAATAGAGCCAAAAATGAAGATGTTCCGAAAGAAAAAGCTTTCAAGAGTATTTTCAGAAGACTATGAGGGGGTTCAAATGAAGATATTAGATCCTCGCGGACGTCCCATAAACACATGGAACAAGTGTTTCTTAATTGCTTGTCTTACATCTCTATTTGTTGATCCACTCTTCTTCTATTTACCAAGTGTTAACGACGAAATCTGCATGGATGCAAGTTATCCTATGGAGATAATCCTTACAATCGTCCGATCAGTGATAGATGCATTTTATTCGGTTGAGATTTTAGTTCAGTTTCGAACAGCTTATGTTGCACCTTCCTCTCGCGTTTTTGGACGAGGAGAGCTAGTCATTGATTCTTCAAAGATTGCATCGAGATATCTCCGTAAGGATTTTTGGCTTGATCTCTTGGCTACTCTTCCTCTTCCTCAGGTATAAACAAGTCCTCTAAGTCTATTGTAGTCTTTTCTCATATTCGATATGATGTTTGGTTGTTAAAAGTTCGAGCAGGAAAAGTTATAATCTGCTGGTATTTCCTCTGTTCTGATATTGCTTGCCAAAAATGAACTGATAAATTGCTAGATATCATGTTTTTAGGCTTATACAAGTTACATCAAATGCTACTTTCTGCTACCTATTCTTGCTTATCTCATACCAAACTAGTCCTAAAACTGTTTTCAGGTTTTGATTTGGGCTGCAATCCCATCTTTGAGAGGTTCGAATAGGATTGGTGCAAAACACGCCTTGCGCTTTACTATCATTTCTCAGTTTCTGTTGAGGCTATGCCTTATTTTTCCACTTTCATCTCACATTATCAAGACTACTGGTGTAATGGTGGAAGCTGCATGGGCGGGGGCGGTTTATAACCTTGTGCTCTTCATGCTCGCAAGTCATGTAAGTATACGACTTGTTTTTTTTAGGGTAGACCAAATTTGTTGTTTCAAATTAACTAAATACCAAGTTCCATTATTCCGTGACAAGCCTCAACAAGAGTAGGGGTAAGGTCTGTGTACACACTACCCTCCCCAAACCCCACCTATGGGATTCCACTAGGTGGTTGTTGTTGATGAAGCCTCAACCATTGACTTGTCCACCATTTTGACTATGCATCTTTTATAGGTTATGGGTTCTTGCTGGTACCTTTTTGCTGTGGAACGACAAGAACAGTGTTGGAAAAAGGTTTGTGATCAACAACAACCGCATTGCCAGGATTGGTATTTTGACTGTCATAGGAGGGATTTTACTAGTAGAATCGCCTGGTATGAACGGAGCAATATATCTACATTATGCGGTCCTAGCAGCGACTTCTTCCAATTCGGAATCTTTAATGATGCACTGACTTTTAGAGTTACACAGTCATCATTCTTGAACAAGTATGCTTACTGTTTTTGGTGGGGTTTGAGGAACCTAAGGTAACAAACTGCAGCTAAAGCTTTATTAATTTTTCTTTGATTAAATGCTAACTTTCTTTAATTAACTTTTGCAGCTCTCTTGGGCAGAATCTTGTGACTACTACTGACATTAATGAAATTAATTTTGCTGTTGTTCTTGCAATTCTGGGATTATTGCTCTTTGCTTTACTTATTGGGAATATGCAGGTAAATCATAGACAATTACATTGGAGGATAAAGGGACTTAGTTTTTCAATCTTAGCCAAACTAGGTACTTAAAATGTTTCATTTCTATGGCCTAAATTTTCAATACCAGACTTTCCTTCAATCAACTACTATGAGACTTGAAGAATGGAGGATCAAAAGGACAGATACAGAAGAATGGATGCATCATCGCCAACTCCCCCACAATCTTAAGGAAAGGGTGCGAAAATATGATCTATATAGGTGGGTGACAACTCGAGGTGTTGATGAAGAAGCCATTGTCAAAAGCCTTCCGGTGGATCTCCGAAGGGACATCAAGTGTCATCTTTGTCTTGATCTAGTTCGTCGAGTGAGTATCTGTAGTATTTAACAATAAATACTAGTTTTAGGAGACTTTTGAGTTCTCCTTTGCGGAAGTGGATCTGCAACAATCATCGTATCACTGGTCGTGGGGAATCCTCACGAAGCGGATGAACTCCCTTTTTCCACAGCCTAGATATCCTATTGTGATGCAAGGAATTACTAACCTTAGCCGTCATTTGTTTCCCAAAAGAAACATTAGGAAAACTTGTTTTCTCTACACCCAATGGACTTGTGGGACATCTAGCACCACTTATGGGTGAACCCGACCCAATAATATTGTCCAACAGTATCATTTGCTTCCATTCCTTGACCTCCTATGTTATAAACAAGCTATTGCTTTTCCACTAATGTGTTTTCATAATCTTGATCCGGCAGGTACCTCTATTTGATCAAATGGATGAGTGTATCTTGGATGCAATATGTGAAAGGTTGAAACCACTTCTATATACTGCAGGAACATGCCTTGTTCGCGAAGCTGATCCTGTGAACGAAATGGACTTCATTATAAGAGGCCATTTGGATTCTTACACTACTGATGGAGGGAGAACAGGTTTTTTCAATTCATGTCAACTAGGTCCGTGTGATTTCTGTGGTGAAGAACTACTGACATGGGCGTTAGACCCTCGTCCGAGCATCATCCTCCCGTCCTCTACACGTACAGTGACAGCGATCACTGAAGTAGAAGTATTTGCACTCACTGCAGAGGATGTAAAATATGTGGCATCACAGTTCAGGAAGCTGCATAGCAAGCAACTCAGGCATACGTTCAGGTTTTACTCGAACCAATGGAGGACTTGGGCTGCATGTTTCATACAAGCAGCGTGGTTTCGCTACAAGAGGAGGAAAGAGGCTTCTCTACTTAAAGTATTAGTCTTACTACTCCAATACAATTTGGTAAGCTAAAGTATTTGATTGAACCAATTATGTTATTTTGTCCCTTTATATTTGGGTATAATTGTTATCTTAGATTGTTGATCCTGAAATTTGATGTTACGAGTTGTGTTCTTTCACTCCAATATTGCACTTACATTTGTGATGAAATGACTGCTTAATGTTAAAGGTTCTCTAAGAAGTAACCTGAATTTGAGAAGCTTCCGAACTTCTCTCTTTTCTCATTTATTTTTCTTTAAATTTCAGTTAGTAATTCTAATATTTTATTATGTGTAGAGACTCTCTTTCTAGATGGAAACTACCATTGGAATAGATGTGGAATACATCTTGAAATTATGATTCATACGAACAATTGCTATTCCTCATATATTATTTTAATGAATAGTAATCATGCGGACAATTGGTGATTATTTGATCTCTTTTGCAAGCATAATATAACTAAAAAAAAAATCGAAAATAAACCGAAAAACCGAGGAAACCGAAAAAACCGACAAAAACCGAAACCGAAAAAACCGAGTTTATGTTGGTTTGATTTGATTATAAATTTAATAAACCGACATAGTTGGTTTGATTTTGGTTTAATAAAAAATCAAACCAAACCGCCTCACGTACACCCCTACTCATTAGCCATGTGGCCAGTTCATGAATTTCAATGGAGGCATTTGGGTTGTAATATTTTTTTCTATGTACGAAGAATGACATCAAGTAGCAAAAAGGACGAGCATGAAATTATTTTTTATTTATTTTTCATTCGGTGTACGATTTTTTGTGGTCAATTAAAGGGAGAAACGCTTCCTATCAGGATTTTTTTCATTCTTAGGGTTGTAGATAAGAGCTTTATCCTTCATCAAGAAACTAAAATTAGATGTGGAAGCGTATCTGAATCCACGGATGAAACTTGTCGTATTGTAGTTGTAACGACCCGACTTATCGTTTTAAGAATTATCGCCCCGTTTAGTGGCATAAGGTTTCGAACAGTTTCGCAATATGTATTATGACCCGTGGGTGTGATCAAGTTTGATTTACTGAAGATTCGAAATTTAATTAAAAGAGCAATTCTTATATAGAAGTTCAAATGGAAAGAATTGACCGGAGAGTTGACTTTTGAGCAAACGACTCCAAAATAGAATTTCGAGGGTGGTAATAGCTTCGTATGATGATTTCGGACTTAGGCGTATATTCGGATTTGGATTTGGAAGTCCGTAGGATAATTCGACACATTTTGGCGAAAGTTGGAAAATATAAGATTTTGAAAAAGTCCGACCGAAGGGTGAATTTTTGATAACGAGGTCGGATTTCGATTTCGAAAATGGGAATAGCTCCATTAAGTCAATTATGACTTATGTGCAAAATTTGAAGTCATTCCGGATTGATTTGATACGTTTCGGCGCAAAATATAAAAGTTAGAAGATTTGAAAACGTATAATTCGATTCGATGCGCGATTCATAATTTCGGCGTTGTTTGACGTGGTTTGAAGCCTAGACTAAGTTCTTATTGTATTTTGGGGTGTGTTGGTATATTTGGTTGAGGTTCCGAGGGCCTTGGGTGGATTTCGGAAGGTTAACGGATCAATTCGGACTTGAAGAAAAGCTGGTGGAATTTCTGGGCAGCTGCTGTTTTTTTTTTCCGCAGGTATGTGAACAGTAACCGTAGGTGCGTGAACAGTAACCGCAGGTGCGAAATTGGGCTGAAACATAAGGATGGAACTTGGCCATTTTTGGCATTTTGTTTTGGAATTTTTGGAGCTCGGATTTGGGCGATTCTGGTGGGATTCTTAACAAGCATGGTTGGGGTAAGTTTTCTATATCCTAAAGTAATTATATTTCATGAATCTATGGTTATATTCATCATTTAACTCGGATTTAATTGGAGGAAATCATGATTTTTGTAAAATCTTCCAAAAACGAAAATTTAAGATTTGGAGGTCGAGTTGTTATTGGAATTCGATAAAATTGGTATGGTTGAACTCATATCAAAATGGGTGTTCGGATTTCATGAAAATTATGTCGTATTCCGAGAGGCGGGCCCCGCGTTAACTTTGTTGACTTTTTGGAATAAAATTTTAAGTCGACTTATTATTATCCGGAATTATTTCCGATGAATTTTAATGAAGTTATGCAATTAATTTGGATAGATTTGAGCAGTCCGGAGGTCAATTCAAGCAAGAAGGCGATTTTGAAATATCGGCATTACTTCAAAAAGGTAAGTGTCTTGCTTAACCTAGAGTGGGGTATTACCCCTTAGGCATCGAGTCTTATGTGCCATTTGTGAAATGTGAAAAGCCGGGTATACGAGGTGATGAGTACGTACTCGTCTTATATGTGTAAATTTTATTGAGTTAAAGTCTTAAGCAAATTGTGTGGTAAATTGGATAATTGTTGGTATATATTCAATCATCTATTTGTCGTGTCTAAATCCTTATTGTTGTTGAATCTGTTGTTATATGACAATTTGATGTGATTGTTACTTGATTATTTATGTAATTCCGTAAATTTGTTGGTTTGATAATTATTGAAATTTAATTTCATTATGAATTTTTCCTCTGCAAATAATTAATTAAATGAGCTTAAGAAGAGATGTTTATAAAATTATTGAAAATTTGAATTTAATGAAGACTTTGCTTTATGTTGAGTAATTTCTATCTCTATTGATTGTTTTTGGTTGTTGTACACATTGTGTGGAGCTTTTGGCTATTTGTTGTGAAATTAATTAACTTGGTTGTAGCTTTGAAATTTGGTTGTGGCCATTGGGCAAATTGTGATATGAATTAATTTTGTTATGTTACAGTGATAATTTTCCGTATAAATTGTTGTGTTGTGTTAATTATTATTTTGAGGATATAAGGGTGGCATTTCACCGTTGATATTATGTGGGTATAAGGGTGGCATTTCACTGTGGTTGTGGTTGTAGGAATATGGTCTGGGCGGAGCGAGAAGGGTAGCTATAAGAGCGATAAGGGTGGCTATTGATATGGTCTGGGCGGAGCGATAAGGGTGGCTACGGGAGCGATAAGGGTGGCAATAGAAGCGATAAGGGTGGCTATTGATATTGTCTGGGCAGAGCGA